CTGTTGTTACTGTTAGTGTTGTTGTTACTGTTGTTACTGTTGTTACTGTTACTGTTGTTACTGTTGTTACTGTTGTTACTGTTAGTACTGTTGTTACTGTTGTTACTGTTGTTACTTGTATTGGCCCCATTTCTGGGCCCAGTCTGCCTACTCATTTCCCTGCCTTATTCTCATTTGGCCCCAGCTTTCCTATGCGCTAGCGGTGCTCATAAGCCTATTTCGTGATGGTAATAGGTTCAGGGAGGTCCTAAAGCCACCATCTGGGAGGGGGAGGGCCTGAATCTGAACACAGTTCTCCTCACAGGGCAGGGCTGAGGGTCTGATTGGTGCTGGGAGTCAGGAAAGGCCTCCCAAAACTAAGGGTGAGAGCCTAGGTTTGAGGCAAGTTTGGGATGGTCTCGGGGAATTGTGTGGCCACAACTGGACAGGCTGTGGAGGCTGAAGAAGGTATGGAAATAAGGTGATAAACTGGGAATCTTGGGAGGAGCCTGGGGAGCCAGTGAAGGTTCTAGAGCAGGCACTCTGCAGCACTCGTCTGTCGCCTGAGGAAGCAGAAGCTTGGCAATGGTAGAAGGGGAGCTGGCCTGAGCTCCATACTCTCTCCCTGTTGCTCTGCCAGGATCTTTTCAGCAAGTCGGACCCCTTCCTGGAGCTCTACCGGATCAATGATGACCAGAGTGAGCAGCTGGTGTACAGGACCGAGGTAAGGGGCCCAACCAGCTGAGCTCCCTTGGGATTCATCAGGGACAGAGAATGAAATCATGGTGGGGATCAATCCCAGGATTCTATCAGTCTTAGGCCCCTCCTGGCAGAAGAGCCTCTACTGTGGTTGTGAAGGTCTTTGCCTCCAACACCCACCCCCCTTTCCAGATGTGGGTGCATCCGTCACCAGAACTCAACAACAGTATATTAGTTGTTGCTGTGATTCTTTTTAGGGCTACCTTCTACATCCTGCAGGTGAACACAGGGGATCGTTTTCAGCAGTGTGAGAGAGTTTCTTTTTCAGATAAATTATTTTGAGTCTAAGAGAGAGTCTATTTAAAGAAAAAAGAGGTTCAGGTGGCCAGGAATGTGGTGGAAATTAGAAAGGTGGTTCCCAAAGGGATGAGGTTCGGGAGCAAATGTCCATGGTTAAAGGACGCCCCGGTGTCTGGTCTTCCTGATGCCTGAAGCCCCGGCCTCCACTGGACTCTGGGGACCTCCCTGGGGTTCCCACCTGAACCAACGCCTTCTGGTCCTACAGGTGGTGAAAAACAACCTCAGTCCAGTGTGGGAGCCCTTCAAGGTGTCACTGAACTCCTTGTGCAGTTGTGAGGAGACACGGCCCCTGAAGGTGTGCTGGACGGGAGAAACGGGGGTCCTTGACTAGCAGACAGAGACAGGTCACCCCCAGACCACACTCGACCCTGGAGTTGGGGTTTGTGGGGAGGAGATGGCACCACCACGCAGTGTAAGACACCAGCTGCAGGTTGGGGTAGAGCGGTCCGGGTTCAGGGTGGGATCTGCATGGGCCCTAGAGGGGCAGGTGGGCTGAAGGAGCCTGGACTCCACAGTGCCTTGTCTGGGATTACGACTCCCGGGGGAAACACGACTTCATCGGTGAGTTCTCCACCACCTTCCAGGAGATGCAGAAGGCCTTCGGGGAGGGCCAGGTGAGCCGGGGTGGTGGGATAGTTGGGAGGGGGACGAACGGTGAAGGGCCTGGGCTGCCTGTCTCATACAGTCATTGTTGTGATTATTGTAATCCAGAGGAAAAACTAATGATGATGATGACAGTAAGACGTGATGCTCCACTGCCAGGGAGGGGGGGATGGGTGCTGTATGCCACCCTGGGAGAATCCCAGCAGAGATTGAAGCGTGGTTCTTCCCACAGGCCCAGTGGGACTGCGTGAACACCAAGTACAAACAGAAGAAGCGCAACTACAAGAACTCAGGGGTAGTCATCCTGTCGCACCTGAAGGTGAGGTGGGACCTGGGTGAATCCTAACCCCTTCCTCACCTACTGGAGGTCAGCAGTGTGCACTTACTGGATTGGTTTTTAGTGGCTCCCATCCCGGAGAGATATATAGTGGCCCTCAATATGTGGTGGGGGAGAGACAGAGAAGGATTCAGGGGAGAAAGGGGAGGCACGCGAGGATGGAGGGTAGAGAGGTGCAGACAGAGCAAGCCATGAGCAGGAGGGGTACAGTGAGACAGAGGGGTCCTGGTGTGGAAAAGCCCTGGACCTCAAGGGTGCTTTGAATGGTAAGGTTGGTGAATCAAACTTACCAGTCACTCCTCAGAACCCTTATACAGGGTCGCTATGGGTCTGAACTGACTCGATGGCATTTAACAACTGAGAAGCTAGGGGGAGGAATGATGCTCCAGAGAGGAAGGGGGAGGGACTTGAGGGAGAGAAGGGGCTGCAGGCATGTGGAGACAAGGGAGGGGTGAGACACCCACCACAGCTGCCGCACTCCACTCTCAGGGGGTGGGTCCATGGTCCTCAGTTTCCCCACGTGGGGGAGCAGACGGGCCCTGCCAACACCGATGTCTGGAAGTTCCACAGGGTGTATTCCTTCCTGGACTATATCATGGGTGGCTGCCAGATCCACTTCACGGTGAGTCCCCCGGTGATCCCACCTCCACCTGCTCCTCCACCTCCATGGTGATCCTAAGGGATCCTCTGCTCCCTCACACTAAGCCCCGCCATGGAGCCTTGGAGAGCCAGCCTGAGTGGGTACCTTAAACAGAACCCAGGTCTGCCTGTCTGAGTCAACCCTGCCTGTTGCCCCCATGCCTGGAACAAGCTGTGAATCAGTCAGACCCAAGTTCTGGAACAACTCAGGTGGAGCAGCATTTCCTGAACAATATCACGCTAAATGGTGGTATAGTTCCACCACATGCAGGCTCCCCCTGCAGACTTGCCCCCAGTGTCAGGGACCTCTGAAGGTCCAGATGGGCCCTCTAGAGGAGGTGAGGGCTTAGGGTGACAACGCCCAGCCCAGCGTTGGTTGGGACATTCTGGGAGACAATTTCTGATGATTTGTGTCTGGCAGGATTTAGGGGCACCTCCACACTCCGTGGAGCCGTGTGGTGAGATCCCTGGGGTAGACAGGCCTACAGGGGTGTGAAGAGAAGCTGGGTCCCAAAGACCCACATACTCACAGTCCTGCCAGCCTGGGGTCACCACCTCACCTCAGAGATGACCAGTCCTCTTTATAGGCACTGCTCCAGACGGTCACTTGGGCTCTCTTCCTGTGGCCCTGCGAATCTGCCTCTTGGGTCAGTCCCTGGCCTCCACTGTCCTTACCTGTCTTTTGGGATAGCCGGAGGAGGCAGCAGATTAGCATCCTGCAGAGGGGGAGGGGCAGGAGGGTCTGGGCAGGTCGGGGTGTGCTCACATCCGGGGCCTCGCAGGTGGCTATCGACTTCACAGCCTCCAATGGTGACCCCCGGAACAGCTGTTCCCTGCACTACATCAACCCCTACCAACCCAACGAGTACCTGAGGGCCCTGGTGGCTGTGGGCGAAATCTGCCAGGACTATGACAGGTAAGCACTGTCCCCATACCTGTGTCCAGTGGGGAGCAGGGCTGAGTGTGGGCCCTAGGGGCTTCCTGCCGGGGCCTTCCGAAGCTGCTCCCCACCCTTGCCTTCTGGGGGAGACAGGGCTCCGAGTGCAACTGACCTTCTCTTCCAGTGACAAGAAGTTTTCTGCCTTGGGGTTTGGAGCCCGAATTCCTCCCAAGTATGAGGTAGGAGAGCCTGAGGCCACCTTTGCTCTGTGCCCATCACTGACAGAGGGGCTCCTGGGCCCCTGAGACTGCTGGCTGCTACCATCCTGACTCTGTCATGGGGGGAGAAAAGAAAAGGAGAATGTGGATTAGACTGCCTAGGACCTGTTGGGAGCGTGGAGAGGGCGTTAGACTGAAATCTGTTGCAAACAACAGCTCACCTGGCTTACGTAGAAGCAGTGGTTGGGCAGAGAGGGGAATCTATTGGCTAATGCAATGAAAAGTTTCAGGAACAGCTGGGTGCGGGGTACTTTGTCTATCTCCCTCTGGGTTTAGGTCTGCTTTCCTCTGCATTGGTTCCCTCTGTGGACCTTCTCGCCACATGTCACCCCTAAAGCCCCAAACCTACTTCTCCAGCTTCATGTCTGGAGGCCATGGGGTCTCCTAGATCCAAGAGAATCAACAAAAGTTCCAGGATGGAATCTTCCTGGCCAGACCTTGGATGCTGGGCCTGGAGTTGGGGCTAAGGTGGAACTTTGGGGTGTAAGAACCGTACAGAGCTGAGGGCTTTTCCAGGTGTTCTGGGAAAACAGAACAGGAAGTTGAGGAATGGAGAGGCGTTTTGGTCCCCTGGCCCACTGAGTAAGGGTCCTGGACGCTGGCCATAGGGCACAGAGGAACCTACAGACCTGGAAGGGCCCAGCACTAGCGCCCCTCTTGTCCCTCAGGTGTCCCATGACTTTGCCATCAACTTCAACCCTGATGACGATGAATGTGAAGGTAGGAACCCAATGGAGAAGGGGACTGGAGGGTACAGTGGAACTACACTCACCTGCCCGCCACCCACAGGTATCCAGGGTGTGGTGGAATCCTACCAAAACTGCCTGCCCAAGGTCCAGCTCTACGGCCCCACCAACGTGGCACCGATCATCAGCAAGGTGGCCCGCACTGCTGCGGCTGAGGAACATACCGGGGAGGCCTCCGTAGGTTCTGGGCCTGTGGGCATGATGGGGAGAGGCAGGCTGGAGGGGTGGGGCAGGTCAAAGGTCCAGTAGGGCTGGGTGCGCAGTAGAAGAGGTCAGTCACCACAAGGCTGAGTGTCCACCAGGTTGGTAGGGCTGAGTGGACGCCAGTCTTGTCCCTGCTACCCTGGTGGATGTGTTGCTGCTCACTTGGTCCAGGAGACTTTTTGGGTCAGTCTGTTCTCTCTCTCCATTCAACAAGTATTTATTAAATACCTATGCATGCTGCTCATGGTGGGAATGAGCTATGAACAATGCAAGATCTCTTCCCTCAAAGGCTGACCCTCTGAGGGGCAGAGACACGGACCCACAAGAGACTGGGGAATGGGAAAAGAATGAGGTGCAGGAGGATGAGGCAGGTGCTGCTAAGGAAACAGGCAGGAGAGCCGGAGGCAGACATGCAGGGCAGGGAGAGCCCAGAACTGCACAGGTCCTGGGGCAGGAAGGGGTTAGTGTCCCTGGAACAGATTGAGCAACAGGGAGACTGGGAAGAAACAAGGACCAGGAAGGCACTGCTAGTCAGGGACGACTGACGTCTCACCTTCCCCCAAAGTGAGCGCTCTGGTGAGGGCAGAGAGTTGGATTAACGAGTCACCCCGCCAGGTGGTGGCCCCCACAGCTCAGGCAAGGCCATCTTAACTGATATACTGTTGCACTCTGGATCCTCTGTGTGCCTTCCACCCCACCCCCGGGAAGCCTTCTGTCCATTGTTTATACACATGCTGTCATTTCCACGGTTCACAAACAGCGTTCTGCTCCCTCCTTCTCACTCAGCCCTGTGCTGGGAGCTCAGATTGTCTGCTGCTTTCATTTACCTTTTTGTTTTGGGGGAAAGTTCACATTTTCAGAACATTCGTAAGAATAACTAAGCAGTGACTGCCTGTATACCCTTCCCTGGCTCGATGTCTAACCCCACACATGCGTAGCATTATTGTCTTTCTCTCGGATCCATTTGAGAGCAGATTGCTTCCCTGTTGAATTCTTCACATAGATCTGCTAACAGCAAGGATAAGCTTTTACCTGACCACACAGTTCAGCTTTCAAAGTGAGGGCAGCTACCACAAAGCTCTCCTGCTGTCTTATGTCCCTGCATGCCCCTGACCACCTTTCTTGCCGACATCCCTATTGGCCAGACCCAGACCCAGGGTTTGCCTGCCACCCATCAGTGCCTGTCACCGGGCTGCTTGTGGCTCTGGGGCCTGAGTGTCCAGCACCCCGTGGGGTGTTGCCCACCCTACTTGGCTTCCAGACACAGACTCAGAACCCCTAGAGTCAAGTTGTAGGAGTGGAGACTGGACAGAGTCAGGTGGGACAGACACCCCGTCCCAGTCCAGAGCTTGACTCTTAGGTGCCTACTATGAAGCCCCCTGTGGTGGGAGTTAGGCATGCCCCTTACTACAGCTACTCTCTGAAGGACGAATACCCACTGCTGTCCCTATGGGTCCCCACTGAGTCTGTGATGAACCAAGGGGTGTGGCCGCCCACTGCTCCTTCTGTGCCCCTCCCCCAGCAATACTACATCCTGCTCATCCTGACGGACGGCGTAGTGACGGACATGGCGGACACTCGGGAGGCCATTGTGCGGGCCTCTCACTTACCCATGTCCATCATCATTGTGGGCGTGGGGAACGCCGACTTCACTGACATGCAGATCCTGGACGGTGACGATGGCGTCCTGCGCTCTCCACGTGGCGAGCCCGCACTCCGTGACATCGTTCAGTTCGTGCCCTTCCGCGAACTCAAGAACGTGAGTGGTAGGGGGCACAGCTGGCAGCCATAGGCCACGGTGGGGTGCACCCTCAGCAGCTCACAGTCCAGGGGTCCCTCGAGAACAGTAGCTGGAACAGCATCTTGCGCCCGATATACTTATCAAGAAAAATGTTCAGTGATCCAGGGAATGCTCAAAGGCCGTAGTGGTGTGAGGGGCTGGTGCAAGCTCCCCACAGAGCTTTCCCGGGCGGCTTTCACACCTGGCTCTCACACACACACAGAAGCAGCTCCGGGTGGTCTCACGATCATTGGTCACTGCCTGCCTTGGCCATTCTCCCTGCCCTGACCAATGACAGCTGGGATGCCGCTGCACTTATTAAATATGGTGACCGCTGTGGGCCTTCAAAAGAGGCTCTGGTAGTGTAGTGCTTACGAATCGGGCTGCTAATCTCGTAGTCAGGAGTTTGAAACTATCAGCTAGCTGTTCCGCGGGAGAAAGATGAGGCTTTTTTGCTCCCATTAAGATTTACAGCCTTGGAAACCCTGTACAGGGTCGCTATGGGTCAGAACCGACTCCACGGCACATAATAACAATGGGCCTTCAAACAAAAGAAAACAAACCCCACGGCCACACCATGGACTCTGACCCCAGTGAGGGTTCATGAGACTGAACCTAGGGGAGCCTTTTTCTGTCTCTCGCTGAGCAGCCGGCTGGTGGTTTTGAACTACCAGCCTAGCGGTTAGCAGTCCAACACCTAACCCACAGTGCAACTAGAGCTGCTGTGGGCTTTGTTGTTAAGTGCCATCAAGGTGATTCCGACTGAGCTTAGCAGCCAGTGCTGACCCTATAGGACCACACCAGGACTTCACGGACCTGACATGCTTTCGGGTCTCTCCGGAATTGTTCTGGAAACCCTTCCCAAGACTGGCTTCCTGACACTCATGGGTGGAGAGCAGACTGTGAAAGTCCGGCCCTACAAGATGAGGCCTGTGTGTGTGACCTGGTTGGGGAGGCTGGGGATGAGCCCTAGCTTTCTTCACATTGTCCCCATCTGCAGGCATCACCCTCGGCACTGGCCAAGTGCGTGCTGGCTGAGGTGCCCAAGCAGGTGGTGGAGTATTACAGCCACAAGGAGCTACCTCCTCGAGGCCTCAGCACGCCCCCCCAGGAGGCAGGCCCAGGTTTGGCCCCGTGAGGACACCTGGACGCGGCTGGCAAGGGAAGGGTCCATGCAATATCTGTCCCCAGCACCTTTGGGGTCCCTTCAGCCCTCTGAGTACCCCCAGAGGCCTCCTGTCTCTAGCCCACGCCTTACACCTCATCCCCCTGTGATCCTGTGGGCCTGGGGCAGCAATGGAACCCCCGAATCTAAAGGGTGAACAAACCCAGACTCTCACCCGAGAAGCCCTGGGCAGAAGTCACTAAGTGGTGGGGGCTGGCAGCACCCCATGCTCACTTGTCCCCAACCAGTGAGAAAAGGGGGCCTGGGCAGCTCCTAGTAGGGGGTAAGGGGAGAGAGGTTGGTTGGGGCGTGCTCTCCATGGCTGATGTTTGTGGAGAAGCACCTGTCTCAAAAAAGCCCAAGATGCCCTTGGCCCCTTTTCCCGGCTAACACCCTTCCTCCCCTGGCCTCCTGTGCTTTTTGCTTGGGAACCGTGGGGAGGGGACTTCTGGGTAATAAAGTTTATCTTCTCCTAGCATCTGTCTGTACCTTTCCTGCTCCCCTGTCTTCCTCTCCCTGTCCTCTCCCAGAGCTGAGGACCACCCCCATATAGGTAAGGTGGTCCATTTGCTGTCTCCAGCCCCCACTCTTAGAGAGGACTATTGCTAACTCTGAAACCCCCGAGAGGCAGAGGCACTGTGGTTTCAGGGACTGTGCCCACCCTGTGTGTTCCAGGCCCCACCTGTCAACTTGTTTGGTGAACGCAAGCCTGCAGGTGAGGCTGGGTGAACTGTGGTTGGGCTGCTCCTTTTCCCTCCTTCCTCTCTGGAAAGCAGTGGCCTTTGACCCTACTCCTCTACAGAAAATCTGTAGGGACAGGGAGTCTGAGCAGGCCAGGGCCTCATAAATGGCTACCTGGATTTGATTTGATTATTACTAATAATTTGGCAAATGGCTCTATAGAGTTGGCGCTGTTTCTCTGGGTCCCGGGCAGCCTGGGGGAGGACCAGGAGTGGTCCAAACCTTGATCTGTGTCTCCTGGGGCCTGCTGACTCCACCTCATCTCTGGCCTCCAGGGACAATGGGGCATGGTGGATGGGAGCCCAGTGGAGGTGGGTTTCATATTGAGGTTTTCCCTGCTTTTTATTTTTTATTTTTGCCTAGAAAAAACAGTCTCAACCCTGAACCAAGAACCGTCTATCCCTCCATCCATCCATCCATCCATCCATCCATCCATCCATCCATCCATCCATTCATCCACTCTGGGCCTATTTTTAGCTTCTGATTCATCTCCTGTTCAGCAAGGATAATAGGCATCTCCATGGTAACCTGGCTATGGGTGCCTTCCTGAAAGGCCGATGTTGGTGAGTTGGTCTCTTTAGGGGATAGAAAGGACAGCAGAGACCCCCCATCCTGTGAGCATGCCTGGGGTAGGGTGGGGTGTCTTGAGTCCTGAGGTAAGAGAGCAGGTATTCCCTAAGTCCTGCCGAAGACCTCAAGGGACGTTGGATAATCCCCACTGTCAGCAACAGAAATGCTGGACGGTGCCGGGCTCTTGGTTGTCAGCAGCCCCTCGGAACATGGGCCGCACAGAGCGACTGCTAGTAAGAGGGGGCAAGGGGCATCCTCACAAGGAGCTGTACCCCATGGCTAGACAGGCCAGTTGTGCATCTAGTGGACTGGGCCAGGGAAGGCCTTTTCCAGGAATTGCTCTTTAGGTAGGTGTCATGGGAAGCAGGTACAGAGAAGGTTGTAAATATCCTACCTCCATCTCCCATTGAGTCTGCCAGGAAGCAAAGAGCAAGAGTCTGGGGGTGGGGGGACCCAGAACAGAGTGGTCACAGGTCTTGAGGGCTGGTGTGGAGCTTGCTCATAATAACTCAGGCGTGGGATGTCCCTTTTCAGAGGGTGGATCTGGGGTTATCAGGAAACATCTGGAAGCATCAGCACTGGCCCGAAGTCAGACTGGACACCTGATGCCAACTTCTGACAGCCGTTTGACTTGAACAGACCCTTTCCCCTGATGTGGGGTCCTTGTGCCCTCTCTGGTCTGCACCTAGGTGTCATGCCATGTGACTCTAAGACCTTGTCTGGCTCCCTGAGACTCTGGTTTTGGGACCTAGCTGCCATGTTGTAAGGAAGCCCACGCTACCTGGAGAGGGGTTGATGCCCATCCCAGCTGAGCTCCCAGTCAGTGGCAGCCCCAGCTAGCCCCATATGGGTTCATCACCATGACATTGGCTTCCTGCAGCCCTGTCCTCCATCTCAGGGGAGACCCTGCCTCAAGTGCATGCACATAAAGGTTTGTGAACGTGCACACACATAACCCAGTCAGAGTCTTCTCCTCAGTTCCCCGCCCACAGAAACTGTGCAAGCCAATCAGTGCTGATTGACTTTCTTTCTTTAATTGACTGCTGTTTATTGATTAAATCAACATTTTGGTGTAATCTGTTACACAGTATTTGTTCATGAATACACCCCCTCACAGCACCGTCCTAAGGATTGGAGGCATGAGGCACAAAGCATAGGACACATTTATGGTCAACCAGTCTCAGCCCACAAGGGTGTCCGGTTCTTCTCGATCCTTCTGGGGGATGACCATAACAAAGTACCACCCTTTCATGTTCAGTGTGGGACCCCGGCTCTGCAGTGGGCGGGAGCAGGAGTGGGAACAGAAGCAAGCCGACTTCAAGGCTGTACTTTCTTCTGCTGTGGAGAGGAAGTGCGGGCAGGAAATTGTGACTAAGTGCATGTAATTGGTGTGGGGGCGGTATAGTGCTGTCAGACGGGAGCGCTGCTAGCCCTCAACAGAGGGGGGCCGAAGGAGAAAGCTGTCTACCTCGCCCACACTGCCCCTCCACTTCACCTGCTCCAGTGCCCCTCTTCAAGCAGAAGGCACCTCAACACACACACATGCACACAAACACTCACAGAGAACCCAAGCTGGCATAACAGGAAGTCCCCCCCACCTCCCCCCCACCCCATGGCCGAATACTCACACAGCACACACGCTGAGCTCATGTGGAGTATTTCTCTCATTCTGATACTCACCAAGCCTGCTCACAACAGCTCCACACGTGAGCCACATTTCTTAGAAGGGGTGCAGCTCAGATAAATTAAGCTAAGGGGCAGTGACGCCATGAACTAGGCCTGACACCCATTCGGGTTCCTGGGTCTCAAAACCTGAGCCAGCAGGCCTTAGCAATTATGTGTGTGTACATGTGTATATGTGTACACGTGAGTACACGGTGGTGGTGTGCAATGTGCATATGTGTGTCAATATGTATGTGTGCGTGCACATATGTGGGTGGTATGTTTGTGTATGTGAACACGCATGTGTGTGTCAGAGGTTTGGGTCCCTTGACTGCCTTGAGAATGAGCAGCCATGCTCGGGGCTGCTAGTTGCCTCCTTGTGTTTTCCTGCTGCAGGGTAAAGGTGACCGTGACCCACCAGAAGGTTTCATGTCTCCCCTGTAAATGGAACCTAGGCCTAGAGGGTCACTGGGGTGGAAGCAGACCCTGACCTGTTGCCCTGCCTTACTTTCCTCCCCACTTTAGCTTCTGGGCCCACTGTCAGAAGCCCCTGTGGCTCCTCACCTGAGACCCGGCAGTGCCTCGTTAGGGTCTACGGACTCAGCTGGGAGTGCAGCCTGGCTTCCATGTCCTGTCAGGCACTGAACCAGACTCTCATAACCTCCCTCACTACGTGGCACCCATGGCTAGCCTTGGATGCACAGCTCTTCCACACCACAGGTACCAGCACCAGGCAGAAACCGAAGGTGCTGTGTATAGACAGCAGGTACCCACCACTGGCCTTGAGCCTAGAACATGTATACTCAGCAGCTCGCAGCCGCTTGGAGGGAGCCAAGAAGACCAGAGTAAGAAGTTCTTTGACTAATTAAGACAGAAGGAATGTGATTTTGCTGGCACTGCCCAGGACCAGAGCCCTCAGCAGCCTCACGTGGTACCCCTGCACAGCCCTCCATAATAGGCCCATCCTGGAGGTGACCACGTGTCCCAGGTGCCCAGCCAGAGTACCCTTTCTTCCCACTCACTGAACAGTGTCATCTAAATTCTAACACATGTGGAGACGCAGCATCTCTGAGGAGAACAGGGCCTCTTTGTTCCCAGCCTGCCACGCTGCTTGTTCTCAACAGATGGGCCTGTGAAGGGCAGCCAGGCTTAGCGTCTGAACATAGTACACGGAGGGAGACACAGGAGCAGACTCTAGCCAGGAAGGTGGTGGGAATGGGCTGTGTCCTCGATTTCTTCAGGGTCTCAGCCTTCAAGCCCTCTGCACCGTCCATCTGTCCTGAATGGGGAAGTCTCAGGTGCCTAAGCCATGACCCCTGCACAGCCTTGATTCACGGAGGGGCCATTGAGGTTGCCTTCAGAAAACGTGAAGTGGTCAGGGTGTGAAGGTCCCGATGTGGGCCCTGGGTCACTCTTCTCTAGAACCTCCCCATCTCCCACTGGCTTATGTGAGAGTTCAGTGAGTCATGTCTGTGATGCTCTGGCATTGGCTGAAATCTGAGGGGTCCAATGTGTCACTGGCCAGTGTCCATCCTCCACCCAGTTACCCGTAGCTCCTCCTAGGTGGACTGGGCTATCGCTTGAAGGTGACACACATGTGCAAGCACATATGTGCACATTTGAAAGCGAAGCCTTCTGACAGCTGTTCATCTATGGTGCAGTCAGATACCATCTAGTGGAGCTGAGTCTAACTGTTTTCAAATGCTTGGTCTGGCCCATTTCGTTGATTCATGATAAGGCTTTCTGCTTCTGTAAAGATTCACAGCCTTGGAAATCCCATACAGGATCAGTGTGAGTTGGAATCAACTTGATGGTACACAGCAGTGGCACCAGCAACAATGGGTCTCAGGGAATCCTGTGTGGATAAGCACCACAAGGTTGACGGTTCAAACCCACCAGCTACTCCTCAAAAACCCTACACACAGTCACTATGAGTCAGAACCGACTCGATGTTACTTAACAACAACATGGGTCTTGGAAGGGACCCTAGTGGTGCAATGGCTGAAATGCTTGACTGAAAGGTCAGTGGCTTGAACTCACCAGCTGCTCCCTGGGAGGAAGACATGGCCATCTACGCCCAGGTTCACGTGCGGAAACGCTTTGGGGCAGCTTCCTCTGCCGTACAGGATAACAATGAGTCAGAATCAACCAGAGAGCAGTGGTTTGGGATTTTACTTAATAAAG